CAAAGACGCTTATACCTCTAAGACTTTGGGTTACCATTGATTCCCATAGTATAGCCAAAAATACAATGGATGTCAAAGAGAACCGAAACTGTTTGTCTACCAGCATTCTTCAAAATATCTGTCATACACTCTCACTCTATTACATACTTCTTTTCTTTACCCTCATTCTATTCATAGTTTTCACACCCTTACAGGAACGCCCACCTGGAGGGCAAAACAAGGCTTTCCTCCACTAACCGCCACTTATTTTTACAAGGTTTGCAGTAAGTAGTAATATAGTAAGACACTGATATTAAAGGCCAAATTCAGTATACACCTGATTGATGATGCATGCTTTGTATAGGCAAGTGGATGAACCCAGAATATAAACCCAAGTTTCCCATTGAATGTTTTCCCATAGAAAACACTGCGTTCATATTCCGTGCTCTTCTGCTTGCCTGTATAGCGTATGCATCACTAAGATTTGTACTGAATTAGATCTTTTAATATTACTGTTTTAATAAGGCACTTTAAATTTAACGTTTTTATAATGTCACACTGTTTTTAGTGATTGAAATATTGCGGTGGGTTCTTTATATGGATTGTAAATGGCCAAAACTAGCATTTTGTTCATAAATCCTTGTTTTATTCTTTTGAGAGGTGACCTAAATGTTTGTGGATTGGAAAGATATGGACAATTGACAGGCTCGTGCTGCAGTTATGGATGTTTTGCCCTCCAGGTCTTCGAACCAGTCACGTGACTGAAAGCTATGAACTGAACAGTCCTAATTCTCTAACTAATTCTTACTTTTCTTCCTTACAGAGTCAGACATAGCTTGAAGGGCTTGAAGGGCCTATCTTACTTTAATGCTACACAAATATACGTGGTTGTTTCAAGTCAAAACCTTAAATAAACAAATATTTTAAAGGTGCAGTGTGTAAATTTTAGCGGCATCTAGCGGTGAGGTTGCGAATTGCAACCAACGGCTCAGTCCCCCGCTCACCCCTCCCTTTAGAGAAGCTACGGTGGCCGATACAGGACTAAGATGTCGTCGGTAAAGACAGCAGAGAGTAATGAGATTTCTTTACAAAGGTAAATTAAGGAATTATGTTTACTTAACTTTTTAATAAATCGATGTTATTGCGAATATTAATGTACTTGTTCATCATTGTGTCAGTGTTTTATTCGCAAGAACAACAAAGTGACGAAACGCGCTGTGTAGAGCAGTTTGTCCGTTTAGGGCTACTGTAGAAACATGGTGGCGACTTCCATGTAAGCGGACCCGCGGTGTATGCAGATATAAATTGCTCAATCTAAGGTAATAAAAACATAACGGTTCATTAAGTAAGGTCTTTATACACCTCTGAAAACATAGTTATGTATATTATATTGCATTTCTATCAATAGATCGATGTAAATATTACATATTGCACCTTTAAATCCATTTCCAGAAACAATCTGCAGATTGTGCAAAAATAATAAATACACAAATAAAAAAATCCACAAATTTGTGAATGTAAATTGTGAATTTAATCCTGCGTTACTTTACTTCATTATTTCTCATTCTCTCATTAGCATGTTAGGTGAAATTAGCATAACACCGTGAGAAATAATGAAGTAGATGAATCAAAATGATTCGAAAATATGAGCGTTTCAGTTTTGCATTTCACGAATATAATCATCTGTTGATGAATTATGACAATGTTAACCTTATGGTGTTTATATTGTAAAATAATTTCATCAGCAACAGTAATCATACATATTTCAAAATAAGAGTCCCGGTGTATTGTTTACAATTAAAAGTCCCGCATTATGGATATTTTTCCTGCTTAATATTGATACTTTGGTTATATAATAAACAATATCTTGCATTTAATTCAATTTCAAGTCTTGCAGCTTCTGTCTGGGCTGCTACATCACAGGAAGAAAGACTGAGAACATTAACACGTATTATTACTAGTTTTATTTAATTATTATTATTAATTATTACTAGTATAAACCATAGACTGTATGGTATAAACACAGTAATCTGTTTATAACAGTTATATATTATTACACACACACACCAACAAACACACACAATTATTATACATAATTCTTAAAAAATAGATGCAGAAATATATAAACATCTAGACTACGTAAGTACGTTTTGTATTCTAATAAATAATTTTTTGCTTGTAAATGTATTCTTGTATCCCTATATTAGGGAAAATACATTATTTGATACATTAGATTCATTAGAAGTTTTGTTTACTGCGCTCCTTGGGGAAAAATCAAGCGTTTTTAAGTTTTGTAGAGACGACGCTGCGCTCCAGTCCAGCAGGAAGCGGAAGTGCGCTATTACTTCGCCTACAACAAAGATGGCGTCTCCCATAGAACACGAGGATTAGTTTGAACAAGTTAGTTTTTTGTGTTATACAATATCGAGCGTCTATTGTACTGTACATTTACAGTAGACCAGAAAGTCTGATAATTAAATTGTAAAAGCTACGATAAACGGCAGTGATGTAGGTTAAAGGCTGTTCGCTGTTTGTACAGGTACAGGAGCAGGAGGCTGCAGAAGAACCCAAAGCACCCAAGATCCGAGACACACCAGAAGACATCAAACTAGAGGCCATCGTCAACACGATCGCATTTCATCCCAACCGAGTATCTCTATCCGAGTATTACCTGTGAGCACCTGACACACTCAGAGATGCTGAACTCCTTTACATTGAAATATATTCATCTGATCTAATCAAAACCTGTTAGACAGATATTACTCAAACTTTAAGCCGCCTTACAGCATAATTAAGATTTTTCATGTTTTGCAAGTCTCTTCTGCTCACAAAGGCTGCATTTATTTGATCAAAAATACAGTACAAATTGTGAAATATTATTAGAATGTAAAACAGCTGTTTTCTGTGTGAATATCTGTTAAAATGTAATTTATTTCTGTGATGCGCAGCTGTATTTTCAGCATCATTACTCCAGTCTTCAGTGTCACATGATCTTCAGAAATCATTCTAATATGCTGATTTGCTGCTCAAGAAACATTTCTGATTATTATCAATGTTGAAAACAGTTGTGCTGCACGATATTTTTGTGGAAACATGATTCTTTAATGAATAAAAAGGTAAAGAACAGCACTTATTCAAAACAGAAATATTGTGTAACAACATGCACTAGCATTCAGAAGTTTGGGGTCAGTAAACTATTATTTACCTATTGTATCTATTGGCGTTATTCTTCTTCCGCAAGGGAGTCTACGGCAGCCCATAGATCTGCTTGCGGGAAAGTTATGAAATTTGGCACACTAATAGAGGACAGTCCCATCATTAACCACAGCAAATTTGGTGTCTCTAACTCAAACTCTCTAGCGCCACCACTTGTCCAAAGTTTCACTCATGTTTATGCTAATAACTTTTGAACCTTAAGGTCTAGAAGGAAAATTAATTTTTTCCCTCTGAATCCTTGGCTCATTTGTCTGATTTTCACCAAAATTGGCTCAGATCATCTTCAGACCATGCTGGCAAAAAGTTATGGATTTCGTATTGATTTCCAAAACGGTTTTCGTTTAACGCGTCAACAAATGACATTACAGAAGGTTCAAACGCTCGTTGATGCTCCAGAAGGAGAAACCATGCATTAAGAGCTGGGGGTGAAAACTTTTGAACCGAATGGAGATGTGTACATTTTTCTTATTTTGCTTAAATATCATATTTTTTTCATTTAGTGCTGCCCTTCAGAAGCTACAGAAGATACTTGCGTGTTTCCCAGAAGACAAAATAAGTTAAATTTACCCTGATCTTCAAATTCAAAAAGTTTTCACCCCCGGCTCTTAAGGCATGGTTTCTCCTTCTGGAGCATCAGAGAGCGTTTGAAGCTTCTGTAATAGCTGCGTATGAGTCCCTCAGTTGTCCTCAGTGAGAAAAGATGGACCTCAAAATCATAGTCATTGTTGGAAAGGGTTCAAATACACAAAAATGCAAGAATTTGTGGGAGCTGGGGGATTTTTCTGAAGAACAGCAGGCAGTTTAACTGTTCAGGACAAACAAGGGACTCATGAACAACTATCACTAAACACAAAAACACAGCTGTGGATCATTCAGCTAACAACACAGTATTAAGAGTCAAGGGGGTGTAAACTTTTGAACGGGGTCATTTTTATAAATTCAACTATTATTTTCTCATGTAGACATGTATATGTAAACATCTTTTATGTGAACTCTTATTCAGGTAACATGCATTTTGTATGATCTCTCTTATTTTGGTAAAATAATATTTTGCAGATTCTGAAAGGGGGATGTAAACTTTTGACCTCAACTGTAGTTAACCTTACAGTTATTGTTTGGTTGCACACCTGTGTATCAATAAAACTCCTCCAGATCTTCTCTTCTGAAACGAATGACTCCGCAGAGCTGTGAGTGTCCTGCCGAACCGTGTTCTGGGCAGCACGCCGGCGAGTCCATCGAGGAGATCCAGCTCGTCAAGTTCTGGGACATCTCCAGCTTACCAGACACCAGAGTCAGTGATTACCGGCGGAGAAAGAAGAAAGACAGACGCCTCAAAGCTCTGAGTAATAAAGCTTTCGACACAGGACAGGATTTCTTCGCCGGCCTTTTAGACTCAACTGAAGAAAACAGTAAAAAACAAGAAGAAGAAGAGGAAGAGGAGGATGACAGTGACAGTGGAAGTGACTGAAAATAACTCCTGCAATATTGTGTTGTCATTTGTATATTTCGTGTCTATTTTCTGAATCAGTATTTATGTATTTGTATGATATATAATTTTAGAATCCATGCAGTGCTGTCATATTATTTGTTTATAATAAATCTCAACACAAAAGCAGACATTTGTTGGGCAAAGAATGTAACATGTTCACATTAAACAGACAGTATTTGAAACAAAGGTTTGTATTGTGTTTTATTTATTACTACTAAACCACTAACCCGTCTAGGAACCACAATACTAGTAACTACAATACATGTTTTGCAATAAAGGTGCAAAATTTCATTGTAATTAAATTTCGACACACACATGATGTTAGTAGCTTATTTATTTGCAAACCACTTATAATTATTTTGAGGTATATTTTAGCACAATATCTGTAAAAGAAAAAAGAAAAAGTACTCGGATGTGATGTTTGCGTTGATATTTGGAAATTACAGAACTGTTTTTAGATGCTGCACTATTTCTAGTTCCCTAATTTGAGACATTTCGACTCTTGCCCTGAGTGTCAGATTTCCTGGATTTGGAATATTCTCAAATCAGTAACAGAAATGAAATTACAAAGAAGCACCACAGAATAAATCTGACATCTTTAAATTTTCACTAATCTTTATTCTGGCTGATTTAGTCAAATGATCTTTATATGAAGCCATTCTAAGTGGAAGCGCTCGGGTTTACGTCACGTCTTGATTTGGTGTAGATCTTCAGGGTTTGGTTGGATTTTAAGACCTCTGATGAACCTTTAATCCACATGCACTGAGAGCGAAGCTGAAGGGTTACTCGAGGCTGACTGGAGTAGTTGAGAAGTCTTTGGCCCGTTCAGGAAAGGAAACAAAAACTGCCTCGTCAGGATCAATCATCAGAACATCTCCATTCTTGCTCTCATCTTTCACGAGAACAAGAAAAGCCTTGGCAACAACATCAGCCCTGCAATAAAAACACGATTACAAAGTTTCTCAAATCTGATGTTAAATTCAAACCCTTGCTTTATCTGTTCCGTATCTCTCCCCCGATACGAAGGATTGTTAACTCACTCCAGACAGCCGCGGTTCTGCATCATCGTCTCCGCAATTCCCTTCAGTGGAAAGAAACTTCCAATATGCTCTTCTGAACTCATGCTGGACAGAAGACTGGTCTTCACAAACCACGGACAGAGAATGTTGATCCTCACCCCATAGTTAGCCAGCTTGGAAACGGCCTGTTGATGAGCAATTAAAAAAAGTCAAAGACTTTCTCTCTCTCTCACAAAAAAGCTGTAATGCTTGATACGTAAAATACGTACTGCCATGGCACGACTGAATCCCACCACGCCGTGTTTGGTCGCTGTGTAGATGGGCGCCATCGGCAAAGGCCCCAAACCTGCAAAGATTCAGTCAAAACAGTTCACTGAATAAATGAAAATTCTGCATCATTTACCTCGTGTTGTTACAAAAATATTCTCAGTGTTTTTTGGGGGTCCGGAGCAATGTTGGACCCCATTGACTTACACTGTAAGCACAAAAGCATTAGAATTTGTGCCTAGCAGATGACATGAGGTAAATTAATAAATGATGAGAGAAGTTCTATTTTTAGATGAACTATCCATCGAGTGTAGACATTTCTTATAGGTCTAAGAAGGTCTTTACAGTCGCTTTGGCTCAGTTCTCAAGAGGTTTTTTTTCTTAAACAGTAGTTTCTTGTTTACATCAGAGAAGTTCTATTTTTAGATGAACTGTCCATCGAGTGTAGACATTTCTTATAGGTCTAAGAAGGTCTTACACTCAGTTCTCAAGAGGTTTTTTTTCTTAAACAGTAGTTTCTTGTTTACATCAGATTGAGTTTTCTTACTGATTTAGGCAAATTGCATGTGTTTTGGCACGTGTGCAAATGAGAATTTGCACAGTAACTAAATGCACGTGGCTTATCGATAAAAACGGATGAGTTGATTCTCAGTGAGATTGTCAAACTCTTCATGTTTATAAATATCTGACATGGAATGGTTGACTTCTGGAAACTTTCGATTTTTTTTTTTGTATATTTCCATCCCTTTGCAGCCCTACTTGCCATTGGAATGAAATATGAATCACAATATTGCCAATCAACCCAGTCTGGAAGCATATATATGGAGTTTGTCCAGTACAATCACTACCATTTATTGAACACAGAGGAACATCACAACCGTGACCAGCAGCGGCTGCAGCAGTGCTCTAAAAATACATTATATTTGTACAGTACTTTTATCTGCAGAAATGTGTTACATGTAAACTGTGAAAATTCACACTTGCTTGTCGTGAAAGAGCAATAGGAAGACATGTAAGAAATTGCGGTTGTGCTGTTAGCAGAAGACAATAGAGTGTGTGAAGACGAATAAGCATTGGTGAATTTTCAGTTTACATGTAACACATTTCTACAAAAATATATGTACTGTATGAATAGAAATGTTAATTTTCTGTTTGTGTACTACAGTATTTCCCAATATATTTTTATCTATTGTTCTGTTGAAATCTGTATCTAAAATGCTCAGTGTGATACACAGACAAAACTGACGCTCTTCTATAGTATAGAAAGCAGTCTGTCAACAAAAAGGAGGAAGACAATTGCATATAACAAAATTTAATTTGCATGTAACATGAAATGAAAATTGCATATAAGTATAAAATGTACACAAAATATATAACATGAAATAAAATGAAATTTGCATGTAACAATTAAAAAAAAAAATTTTTGGGGTGGCCCTGGCCAACTCACTGACAAAATAACTAGGTTTTGAAGCACAAATTAAATGTTCTTGGCGAGTTACTAGTAGAGTTCTGATGTTCCAGCAAACAGTTGTGACAACTGCATTTACAGTTTAGAGAATGTTAAGACTGTTTCGAAAAATGTGCCAAGGCAATTGAGAAAAACTGTAAAACTGTAATTGTTTAATCTGTGTTTATTTTAAATAGAGACGGTATCAAACCTGCCATAGATGAAACATTGACAATGACTCCTCCATTCCCACCATTTTCCTTCTTCATATGTTCTAGAGCGAGATACGTTCCTCTGACCACTCCACCCTGAGATGAGCACAAAACACCTTCAGCTGAAGCAGATGGACAGAGAGAGACAGACAGACACACACACACACACACACACACACACAGAGACACACACACACACACACACACAGAGAGAGAGA